CTTGTTCAAAATTCGTTGGCATACGTCACAATTTATTTAAGGATATAGTGTAGTAAAGTAATCATTTAATTTTGCCTTTGAAAATAAGCTACAAATTAACTCCTTAATGTTTATCTTTATGATAACGTAGATCGATATAATTTTTTAAAAAAAAGATAAAACATAGGGAGACACCTTATTAGTATCATAAACATTTTAAATATCCATTTTTTTGTTTAATTGATATTGAAAAACATTAATATATAATTTTATTTATTTATTATTGTTGGAGATGGTTTCAGCTTAAGCAACATTTGTGTTCTATAACATATAAATTTATTTAATTATTTATATATTGAAGGAGATTTTTGTTATAAACAAAGTTTTGGTTATATATCAAAATTAAATCAATTGCTCATATTTATATTGTTTTGCAATCGTTGATTTAATTTTAATCCAACAATAATAAAATTTATTGTAAGAAAAAATTTATTGGAAATATAATCTATCCCTTTTATATTTACGTAGTTGAAAGTTAAAAGTTTACATCAAAACACATTTAAATTATCCTTCAAATAACCATAAACTACAATACACATTTAACACATAAAAAATAACTGTGTTTCATATGAAGGTTTTTTTACCCTTCTGTCCTCCATCAATTAAATAATAATCATTTTGCCCCTTCCAAAATATTTCACTCATCTGTTCCTGTTTAATCGATTAAATCACGAATTTAATCAATTAAATCACGAATTTAATCGATTAAATAGTTAAAAAACGCAGAAAACATAAATTCTGTGATTTAATCTATTAAGCCACAATGCTTAATCGATTAAATAACGTCAGTGACTTTTTTAAAAACCCATTTGTGGGTGGGGGTTATAAACTACACCCTAATCGATTAAGAATACCCAGAACCCTTTCCTTTTAGATTTTTGCCAAAATCGCGTGGTGGGTTCAAAAATAAACATCACAGTGTATACACTTTCATATTGGTATGTATTTTTTGATTTCCTCCAAAAAAAATTCGATTTTTTTTGGATTCATGAACCCTAGATTGATTGAAAGTGGTTTAGTTTGATTGACTCTCTTTTTTGCATTGATTCTTCGATTTGATGCACGTTTAGTTTAGGTTTTGATGAATGTACATGGTTTAGGGTCTGGGTTTCATAGGTTTTGGGATATTTTTTTCCTATGAAACCTATAATACAAATCCCTAAATACATATGTGCTTACACAACTCCCTAAATATACGAAAATTGCCATTAAAGTTGGTTTTGACATACCAAAACCCAATTTAGTGTTCTTAAATTTATAAACTTGATTCATTTCATATATACTCATATATTAGGACTAGGTGCATTCATTTGTGGGCTTTGATGATTTGGTACGACAAAAGTTGCATACATCACATTAACACATTGCAAAAGACATTGACAATTCAATACATGAACAATTCAAATCACAATACAAGAACAAAAGTTGCATACATCACATTGGCTTGCAAATCACAATACATGAACAATTCATTACAAAACTCATTACAAAAGACAATTCAAGTCTGTGTATTCCTTAGTGGACATGTACGTATGTTATGACCAACTCGCTTGCACTGCCTACATATACTCTAACAACTTGAGGGTTAAGACTCTACCAAATATATCTCATTGTGTATCCTTGAAGACTTTGGTCTTCCTTGTGCGCGAACCAAATTTGTATTCAAGATAAGCCCATCGGATACCAGTGTGCAACATAAACCTTAGCAATGTGTGGAATGGAGAATATAGGGTCAACATAATCGTAGTGATTCAACTTCTCTACCTTACACACTACTAAGACGAGACTGCAAAGATACCTTCTAGCTGTGAACTTTTCACATTGACCTTTGCGATTGATCAACTTCACCTTCATTATGTCAGGGCAAAACAAATCCCAAAACTTATAAAACTTAGACACTAAACCATGTACATTCATCAAAACATAAACTAAACATGCATCAAATAGAAGAATTAATGCAAAAAAAAGGCAATCGAACCAAACCACTTTCAATCAATCTAGGGTTCATGAATCAGAACAAAATTGAAATTTTTTGGAGGAAATCGAAAATACACACCAATATGAGAGTGTATACTTTTTATGTTTATTTCTGTACCCACTATGCAATTTTGGGCAAAAATCCGAAGGGAAGGAGTTTTGGGTGTTTTTAACCGATTAGGGTGTGGTTTATAACCCCCACCAACAAATGAGGTTTTTAAAAAAGGTCACTGACGTTCTTTAATCAATTAAACACTGTGGCTTAATCGAATAAATCACGGGATTTGTGTTTTCTGCATTTTTTAATTGATTAGTCGATTAAGCCCGTAGTTTAATCGACTAAACAAGGGAAAATGAGTGGAATGTTTTTTGGGGAGGGACAAAATAATTATTATTTAATATGATGAAGGGTAAAAGAGTCAAAATGCCTTCATATAAAAGTGTGATTAATTCAAAATTTGTACGAGAAAATCATTAACCAATGAAAGAACAACACTACTACTTATTATTGGTGCCTCACGCTTGTATTCAAAGAATAATTAAAAAAGTACCACACAATGGTAGTTCACTTGGCGTCAGGGAACTAAGTAAGTTGGGGGGTGAGAGCATTTGTTCAATCCTCCACAATATCGTCTTTGGGAAAAGGTCTAAAGCCTTAATCCCGGGACCCGCCTGAATAGAACTAGGCGCGAAGCGATGAACCGATTAAATATTTCAAAAAATAAATAAATAAAAAAAGTGTATACCAAACCCCTAGGGTAGCTCACTTGACAACTGAGCTCCCAAGGGATTGTATGGTTCAGGGTTCAAATCCTTGATCACGCAACTTCTTTAAAGATCTTTGGAGGTCAAAGTACAAGCCTCTCTCCTCGAGGGAGAATTAATCTCATCTGTTTTTTTGCTGACATAGCCCGATGCATCTGTTTTTCCAACGAGAAAGTAACTTTTGAGTTAATACTTTGAGAACAAGGTGACTAGGTTTATAAAAAAAAAATTACCAAATCATATAACTTATAGTTATGACTGAATGAAAAATAAACTAATTTATTATGTAGCTTAAATTTTTTGTTTTTTGCATTGAATTTAAGAAAATTTATATTTTCATAATATACAAAAAAAAATTGTAAATTAAAAAATGGATTTATGTCTGAAGAGAACTGTAATCAATTTTGTTGATTGTTCAATGGCTCGATCCATGTCATTTGCTCTGATCCTTTGCATATATTAAAAATACAAAAAATGTCAAATTTGTCAGTGGTGGGAATGGTTGCCCAACTCTTGCCATGGTACTTATTTGGATAGGGATAGGAAATGGGATGCTATGCCCTTTACGTAAGTTGCATACGATAAAATATCACTTGATATTTTAGGAATAATTATATATTTGTATACTTTGAGAAAAACTCATATAAATAATTTAAAATTTTTTTTTTGGGAATTAATCTATTGTAATAAATTATATGAGAATAGGTAAGAAATATATGAAAATAAAAAATGTATTAATATTTAATATTTTTTTTTTTAAAAAACTATCATATCATTTGTATCAAGAAAAAAAAGTCTCATATAATCTGAAATATTAAATAAAAATTGTATTAATGACTCTCTCTGTTTGCAAGATTAATATTGCCGTATATTATATTTTTCTTTTAAAAAAAATCAAGATAGGATTGGATTGAGCATGCTTCATTTTTAAGATATCTACTCTTTGAGACCGAAACCAAAACTATAAAAATTGTATAATCTTCCCCGTGCGATTTTTTAGCAGAATTATATATATGTATATTTCATTTTTTCTAAAGTTATTTTAGATAACTTTGTCTGATGTTTATCAAAATAACATTATTTAGGAGCGAATTGTGATTTTAATTTATTTCAAATTTATAATAATTTTTATCATTCTAATTTTTTAATTTTAAAATAATATCATTTTGATAAATATGAAATAAAATTATTTAAAATAACATTAGATATTTTTTTGCTGAGGTACCGTGTTCTTAAATACAAAAATTATTTAAACAAAATTTTTCAATTTTGTGATAGTGTTCTCAATAGAGGTACCGTGTTCTTAAATACAAAAAAAGGTACCGTGTTTTTGCTGAGCCAGTGCATGGAAGATTTAAAATTTTATGATAATCCTATAATAAATTCTTTTTTCTATATAAGATTTTTGTTTTATTATCAATAAGTCCAACCACCATAAAATATCTTTCATTTTTCTCTCCTTTTTATAAACACGTTTCACAACTTGCCTTTTCTAGGGCACAAGTGGAAATTGGAATCATCTTCTACTTTGAGATAAAATAGTTTTTTTTTTCCCTTTTAAGTTTTAAACTTTATTTTGTTTTGTGGTTTTTAGCTTTCTATTGAGAACACCATCTAAGCTGTACCTCATATGTTATGTGGTGTCATCAGAAGCCCTTCCCATTTTTATGTGTTTGAAAGAAAACTAAAAAATATAAAGTGGAAATCCTAATTACATAAATATGTAAACTCCTAAGGCATTTTTTTTAAATTAAAAAGAGAAGATTAAAACATACGTGAAAAGTGTTTATCCTTTTAAATGACACAGTTTATATCCTTTTACTCTCACAAAGAGGTGAGACTCACATCTTTATTTTTTTTGTCAACTCTCTCTCATTTTTTATCTATCTCTTTCTTTCTCTTAAAATGACACAATTTTACATCATTTAAAATAACACACACCTTTCCCAAAACATATTATAATAATTTCAAATTGTTTCGAACAGACAGTCGTCAACTCATCATAGTTAAAGTAACTTGTCTTTGTCATATACGTGAGAAACTTTCCCCATATGATAATTTCAATTTGAACCCGTGATTCAGAGAATACGTATGCTTTACAAATATTATATTGATATTAATTAATGTCAATATTATTGCGTGTATTTTTCTCTATTTGTTCCTTCTATAAATCAACCTTATTGGATACCAACCTCTAAAAAAAACTGCTTTTAGGTTTCTATTATCTGGTTCTTCATTTGGTTTGGGGTTTGGTGTCTCTGGTTCCAGATTCCTGACCTTAAATTTCTCCCTTCAAATCTTTTTGGTTTTTTGTTTGCTTCCTTCAAACATAATCCTAAATCTCTCAGGAATTGCTGAATTTGGTGTTTGATTTGTAGTAGCAGATTTTGGTTCTGATTCCAATTCTTGATTTGACCAACTGGGTCTTGTTGAAACTTTCTTGGGGTTGTAAATTCTGTGTTGCTAGTTTGAAAGTTGTTTCCTTTTCAATTTTTGGATTCTGTGCTTCAACTACATCGTTGGTCTCCAATAGTTTTTTTTTTTTTCTGGAATTGGGGGTATTTTGATTTTGTCAGGTATTGAATTGAACTTAGCTGAACTAATTACTCAAAAGTTTGTATCTTTGATTCAATTTGAAAACTGGGTGAGTTTTGTTTTTTTGTTTTATTTTTATCCAGAATTGTTGGGTTGCTTTGAAGTTTACAAAGACTTGAAACCTGAAAATGACGATTGGCAGTCTTGCACCTAAGGCAGAGAGGAAGAAATCACGAAAGAACAAGGGAATTGTTAATGAGAATGCACCCTTGTTGCCTAAAAGTCAGGAGAGTGATGTTGGGTTTGATGATTTCAATGGAGCTTCATTTTCTGGGGCTGTTTTTAACTTGGCCACCACAATTATTGGTGCTGGTATCATGGCCTTGCCTGCAACCTTGAAAGAGTTGGGGATGGTGCCTGGCCTTGCCGCAATCCTCTTCATGGCTTTGTTGACAGAGAAGTCAATTGAGCTTTTGATTAGGTTTACCCGTGCAGGGAAATCTGTTTCTTATGCTGGTCTCATGGGAGATTCCTTTGGGAAATATGGAAAAGCTCTTGTGCAGATATGTGTTATAATCAATAACATTGGCGTGCTGATTGTTTACATGATTATAATTGGTATGACCATTCTAAAGTACAGTACTTAAATTTATTTGGGTGCATGTTCATTGTTATCTATCGTAGGTTTAGGTTTTACTCATCAATTTCTAGAAGCAAGAGCTCTAGCGTTGTCTAATTCAGTTTTGTATTGTTCATTGTGCAGGTGATGTGCTCTCTGGAACATCTTCATCTGCAATTGGAGATCATCATTCTGGTATCCTTGAAGGATGGTTTGGTGTGCACTGGTGGACGGGGAGGACATTTATTGTCCTATTTACAACACTTGCTATATTTACACCCCTGGCAAGCTTTAAGCGAATTGGTGAGTCTTATTCCTTTAATTGAGATTTAAAAGGAAAAATTGGTTAGTTGTGTTGTGTGATTATGCGTTTGAAAAATGACTGAGAAGACTGGGATACATGTGGTTGCACAATTGATAACAAGGGATTGGGACAAGAGCTTTTATCGCCAATTTATTCATCAGAGTATTTGTATGAAAAGCGTTAGAGCCAATTTAAATTACCATTAAGCCTCAAGATGCTCATGAATTGCAGGTTAATAGCCTTAATTTTGCTGCTAATCAGTTTGGTCATTTTTTGAGAATAGATTTTATGGTAGAGATTAAGTGAAGGAAAAAAGAAAAAGAAAAAATCTTGGAAAAGTGTATGTTGTTAGTTGCCATATATTCTATATTACGAATTTGATATCTGGATGACATGACATGGTTAACATGTTTTATAGTTTTAAGATCATTAATTTGCTTTGAACCCTCATCCATCTTGCATTTCAGTTGCAGCATATACCTTAAGCATTAGATTTTTTTGTGTTTTAGTTGTGATAAGAGAGGTCTTATTTTGATCTATTTAGCTTCATCATTTACTATAAATGCATGGAGGTTTTACACACTTGCTCTGTGGTTGCAGATTCATTGAGATTCACATCTGCCCTTTCAGTTGCACTAGCAGTTGTTTTTCTTGTCATTGCTGTGGGAATCTCAATTGTCAAGATTATAAGTGGAGGCATTGATATGCCCCGACTCTTCCCGGTCGCTACTGATGTGACATCAATCTTTAAACTGTTCACTGTAGTTCCTGTGTTTGTGACTGCCTATATCTGCCACTACAACGGTATGCAAGTTATTCAAACCTTTTTGTCAAGCTTATTTCTCTTGTTAGACTTGTTTTGATGTTTTTATGTGTAGTAGACTTGTGTAACTATATGTTAGTTATTGATTTGTTTGAAAAATGTAGTCTGAAGCAATCTGACAACTCTTTCCATAAGCCTCACCCGTGTCCATGCCCAAAAAAAATTTAAAAGAAGGTATTGATAATCCAAACAAGGTGACGCAAAAATTTGTTCATCCAAATGATCACATTATTTTTTCTATGATTACGTCATTACGAATGCAAGATACAACTTTTTTGTCCTATACTATCCTATACTGGAGTGGCTTGAAGTGTTACTAGAAATTTAGAACCCCAAGTGTTATTAAACAGTAAACATGGGTAATTGTTGCAAAAATTTCTATTTTGTGAGAGCATGACATTATTACAGTTAGCTATCTGGCTCTAGCTGTTTGCAGTATGGATAGAGTCGAATGGTTGCATTTTGTGAATTTAAAAGAATTGATATTTATGCACTCTTTTTTCTGCAGTTCACACCATAGATAATGAACTTGAGGACTCCTCACAGATGCAAGGGGTTGTACGCACCGCACTTGGTCTATGCTCTTCAGTGTACTTAATGATAAGCTTCTTTGGTTTCCTCCTATTTGGTGAAGGAACTCTTGATGATGTGCTTGCCAATTTTGATACCAATCTTGGAATTCCTTTTGGTTCTGTGCTCAATGATGCTGTTCGTTTAAGCTATGCTGCACACCTCATGCTTGTATTCCCAGTTGTCTTCTATCCATTGCGACTCAATATAGATGGTCTCTTCTTCTCTAAATCAAAGCCTTTGGTTCTGGATAACTTCAGATTTGCATCACTCACTATCGCTCTTATTGGTGTTATCTTCCTGGGAGCGAATTTCATACCTAGCATTTGGGATGCTTTCCAGTTCACTGGAGCAACCGCTGCAGTCTGTATAGGATTCATATTTCCTGCTGCCATCACTCTTAGGTGAGTTTGATGACTGAATTCTTTTTTTTTTTCAGTATCGGATTCGGTTCCCTGAAATGGGGAATCAGGATCCTTGACACAGCAAACTGTAAAATATGCAGTTAGTATTTACAAAGAAATTATGTGGAATTGAAAAAGCTCAACAATGCAATGGAAGAAAATGATGTAGGAATTTGGGGATGGTTAATGTCCATTCATGTAGCTGTGCTGTATAATTGGTTTTTTGTTTATGCCTTTGCTGCTAACTAACTAATTAACTCATCTTCTTAACCATGCAGGGACCGCTACAACATAGCAACTAAAGCAGATAAGATTCTGTCTGTCATTATGATAGTCCTGGCAGTCTTCTCAAACATTGTGGCTATATACAGTGATGCCTATGCCTTGATCAAGCAGAATAAAAGTTCACGTGAATGAAGGTCATGGTTGTAGATGAAAGTAACTGAATTGGTCCATTATAAAATCAGGGTTTTCTGAGAGGGTCTGATGGGTTGATTTGAATAAACAGAGAAGCTGCTACCATGTGTACAAATTTGCTTCAGATGATGTATTGAGGCCTGCAACATGCATTCAGCCTCCTTTGTAATTTGCCATTCTGTTGTAATAGTTAAGGTTCTTGTTGAGCATTACTCTCTTTCCCTGATTTTCTCTCCCTCAAATGTAATAGAAACTTTTGTTTGCCATTTGCCATTTGCCATGTGTTGTATTTGTGAAGGAATGAATTATGGAACAATGTTATAGTTCAAGAAATGGATAAGAGAAAAAAAACCAATGCTTTGGTTTATTTATTTTCCCTTTTTTCTATTTGTAAAATAAGTTTTCCAATGCCAAAAAATTCGCTGTTATTTCTCTAAAAAATAGAAAATAGAGAATGTATTAAAAAATTGAGCAAAGCAAAAATATAATTCCTCAAGTGATTCATCTAGTCAAGTTGACACGTCTTTTGCGATTGCATTTATAGAAAGAACAGAAGACTTGCAAGGACATCAAGAACAAGAGAAAGATAGCAGCAAGGAATGTCAGAAGTTGCCATGAAGCAAACACATTAAGCTTAATGAATTTCCAAACTTTGATACTTATTCTACCATTGTAATGCTTGTTAACATCTTCAATGACCTTATCCAAGAACGGCACTCTTGTCAATTTAATGGACTTGCTCATCCCATTCCACAAATTAGCCACCTCTTCATCACTCTTTAAGTGGTTCAAAATAACCCCTTTTTCCCTAAGAATCTTTGCATCTTCCTCAGAGTCTATAATCCCATTCATCAATTCAGTGTAACGGGTGAAAACCAATGGCCCTGATGCATTTGATGCTTCATAAGCAACTAAATTTCTCAAGAACACTCCAGTGTTTATGTCTAAACCAATTGTTGGAAGGTAAAGTGTTATTGTCTTTACATCAAATCTAATAGATGATATGTCTCCATTAGTGGCCATGAAACAAACCCCAGATTTTGAGAGTTCTGTAACTGAAGGAATAGTGATTTCCTCCATTAAAGGTTCTTTGTTGATACTATTATCTGAGCTTAAGTTCCCATTTTCTGCTTTGGTTGCTTCTTTTTCTTGAGAGAAAAATAAGTACTCAACAGGTTGCTTAATAATTCCTACTCCTGGAAGGTTAGAAATGATTGTCCAAGGCAACATAGTGATAACTTTCATGGCTTTACATTGTAGGAACTTCTTCATTACGCTTATTAATGCTGCAGTCAATTTTGAAAGCAACCTCCAAACCTCACATAGGAATTGCTTAGCATAGTTCATGAATGATTTTTCATTGTCTTCCTTATCTTTGTGTTGATCCTCTAATTCAACTAGATCTGATTGTTCTTCCAATTTAGGCACAATCATATCATACAAAAAATCTAACAGATGTGCACACTCTGAGACAATAATCTCTGGATAGTCCTCCTCTATAACCTTGAAAGGCGAAAGTTCTTTAAACAATCCTATAAACATTGAAAGCAGCATGTCATCTGTTAATTCTAGTGATGAGAATTTGAACTCCAACATCTTTCTCAACACAAATAATGGGATTTGATTTTCAAGCATTATTATGTCCTTCAAGATTGCATTATGAGCTATTTTCCTTCCTGCATAATCAACAAGGTGAGACATTCTTGAAGAAACTCCCGGTATCATTGTTCCATCTTGAATGATATAAATTTGAAGGAACTCTAGCAAAAATGAGGCATCAACAGCCATCATCCACACCAATGTTTCCCCATTAAAATTTAAGTACTTGTGATAGCATGCTCTAATCCTATGCTCTAACCTTATCAATTGGTCAACAAGATGTTCTAACTTGAGGCTTTGTAGTTGTTTTTGGAATCTTTTTGCTGCAGCAAGTTTATATCTCTCCATCTCATGGAGCTCTTGACGCCAATAATGGTAAGGACCAATGGCAACAAGCTGAGGTATATAAGAATCTGGATCACAAACCATAAGGGACTTAGGAACATTGAAGATGGATACAGGGAATTCACCATCATCCTCAAGCTCCTCATCAAGGGTTTCACGTATTTTAATCACCCACCTAAGTTCATCAAAGTTGGTTTTGGAGTCATATGTCATTGTGGGTCTAAAATATGACATTTTTTTTGGAGAAATCAGCTCTAGTAGGAATGAATTGTTTGGTTTTACATTCAGTGAAAGTGAAGGGAGTTTAAACTATAAAGATTTATGAATGCTTTGATTACCATTAATTAATAGCCCTTATTTGACAGCTTCATGTTTAAGAGTAAGAAACGCGTCCCATATGCTTAAATGTTAATGAATTCAGTAAGTTATTCATCACCAACAAAATCAAGTTTCTAACTGTCCCTTAAAATTATATAAGTGGGAAAGTAAATTATTTTTCATGATGCAAATTAGAATGTACATGCATGGTAAGAAAAACTCCTATAGACTAAAACATTAAAGTGCACAATGTTAAACTTATTTTCTTGTTAACTGCCATAAATGGATGGAAGGAAAGATAGAAATGAAGTGAAATTTATAAACTTTTTAATACTTTAATGTTACATTTAAAAACATTATAATTCAGAGTAAATCAACATCAATTATTTTATCTTAAAAAGAAGTGTTTTTAATTTTGTTTAATATTTCTCATGTTATAGACTATGATGCACCGACACTAACACGAGACACGACACGTCGACACACTGATTCTTAAAAATGTCATATTTCGACACGTTGAGACACGTTTTGATATTAAATAAATTTTTTAATATATATAATATAATTTATATTTAATACATATAACAGCCCATAATAAGTCATATAAACAATCAAATATTCAAATTTCATAATATAAATATAAACAAAACTAATTTTTTGTACCTTATTAATTTTTCATGTCAAATTTCATAATAGAAAAAAGTGATTTATCAATTATTTTTTTATATTTATTTAATAAAAAAAACGTGTCGAAAATGTGTCGCAACGTTGACTGCGTGTTGGAAAAGTGTGTCGGAATGTTGATCGCGTGTACCAAAATGTTGACCGCGTGTCGGACGAGTGTCGGAACTTGTCGGTATCCGACACGCATTTTTTTGAAAAATGTGCATTTTTTGAAAAATGTGCGTGTCGGTGTTTGCTTGGTTATAGCTAAGAGATATAAATATAAAAGTGTATGCGATTCACATGGACCCATGTGAGGAGAAGAGATAAAAAGAAAAAACATGGATCCCACACAATTTTATATGTGTGTAGAAAATAAATTTATCTTCTATAACATGAGAAAACTAAACCCTTTTAATTTGCCTTTGATTTATTATTTGTAAATCAACATTACGGTATATAATATAAGTTATAATAAAATTCAGTGGCTTTCACTTATTACTTTTAAACAGTGAAATTAAATAACTAGACGATCTATTATATAGGAAAAATAATCAAATATGCTTATGCTGCAATTTGTTTTTGCTACTTTGGTTGGCTGCTACATGCAGCGGCTTGTTTATGTGGCATCTCTTACCAGTGATGTTATCTCCATCTCTATTTCCCATCCTATTCTTCTTCTTTTTTCTCCTATTATTTCTAATTCCATTGCTATTTTTGTTTTTCTATTCAGAAGCTATCAGAAACCTAGGAACTCAAGAACGAAAGATTCATTTCCTTCATCTGAAAAACTGATTACCAATCTCACTGATACAATATACTTATACAGTTATACTGATAGCAGAATACATAACCTCCTAACTTACAGAGAAAGAAATATAAATCTTAGTTGAGATTATGCTGTAATGATATTGGAGAGTGATAAGGAAGATACGCATGAAAAAAAAATAAAAAAAATAGAATCTCTGATGCACGGACATGCTCTTCTGGAAAAAAAAAAGTGTGTCGAACACGTTCCGAATCGGGGTCAAAAATTTTCGAGACGTGACTTCGACACGCGGTCAATATTTTTTGACACTTTTTTTTATCCAAATTTTATTTTATTTTATATTTTTAACTAATCATGAAAAATTCATTTATTAATCAATGAAAAATTAATTTATTAATCAAATATTTTCTGTTATGAAATTTGAATTGAAAAATTAATAAGGCATAAAAAATTGTTTTTTCTTTATATTTAAGTTATAAAATTTGAATATTTGAATGATTATATGATTTATTATGAGCAACTATATATATTAAATGTAAACTATATTATATGAGATATGATCCTTTGATACTGGTGTCAAATTTTGAAATTTGACACCAAATCCAACCGTTGATTTCCGTCAATCAACGATAATCATTTATTGTGAATCAAACTTATTAATTAATATTAATTCTCAATAAATGATAACCGGCAAAAATCAACGGATAGGATTTGGTTTGACACCAATGAGCCCCATATTATATATATTAAAATTTTTATTTAATATCAAAACGTATTCTAACGTGTTGAAATCTAACATTTTTTTAGAATTAACGTGTCGGCTTGTTGTGTCTCGTGTCGGTGCAACATAGGATAGAATAACCTGTCTCATTTTACATAATTTCTCAACAAAGTAATTTCAAATTTCGTATTGATTTAAGGGGCAGGTTATATTTACAAACTTTTTTGTTTACAAACTCTTACAAACTACACTATGTAGGACCGGTCCTACATTAATCACACAGTGTACGACCGGTCCTACATTAGTGTAATTGCAAAAAAAATTTGTAAACAGATCATGTCCCTTGATTTAATGTTAATTGTCATGAAAATTCAAAGGGCTTTCACTTATAACTTTTAAATGGTGGAATAAAATAATGAGATAATCTATTATATACACAAAAATTTATATATAAATTCATTCAATGGAGGAAATAAAAGCTATGGCATCAACATACTTAAGTTTTAATTTACTCAAAATTTACTTTTTGCCCCATTTCTAAGTTGGTTTCTGCATTACTTTGGTGCAGCTACTAAGCTGGATGCATAAGAAATTTCTCCAGAATAGCACTGAACAGTTCAAAAACTTAGTCATTGGTAAGCCATGCAGTTAGAAAGCCACATATTTATATTCCTTCAAACATCACTACAAGAAAACAGCTATATTGAGGCGGTTCTACAAGGAAACTGAGGCGGTTTTAATCGCCTTTGATTTAAACGCTAGGCGGTTCAGCAACTGCCTCAGTTACCACTGTCGAGACGCTAACTAGGGCGGTTAAAAGAAAGCGCTGGTACAACCGCATACAAATAAATAGAGGCGTACTCTCTGGCGGATATTAACGCCTCAGTTAGCAAGACAAGAATCTGGTAAGGAATCAAGGGCAGTTCATATAACCGCCTCTGTATTACATTTTGAGACTTTTTTATAAACCGCCTCAATTAATAATTACTTGGGCGGTTTATGAAATCGCCTGCATAATGCAGAACATGAATGCAGAATTTACTAATCATACTAGACAACAGAATGACAGATAACTTGATTTCTGATGACGTTGCAACTATAGCAGCAGGTACTTGAGAATATAAACTAAAAAGATGAATTCAATGAGAATGATTTGAGCTCATCAACGATGAGCTACAGAAATTACAAAGAACTTAAACCAAGGATATGATAATAACAATGATTCATCTGTCAGAAAAAGCCATTTTAGCACTAGTAAAAGTTTCCATGTTATCATAACAACAGTCAGTTGAAAGCCAATAGAAGGTACAGAATCATCTGAAACAACTCCACAGGCAAAGAAAGAACACAGGACCCCACTTGTGGAGCTGTTTCTGTATCCAGAAGATCTCTAGAAGGATAGAAGAACATAAACAAGCATTTTAGGGAGATTTAAAAATACTAATATGAATATATGATTACAAGAAATATAATATATAGAAAAGTGAAAGGCAACAGGCCAACATTATGGAGAATAAAGACTTATATATTCAAGTGATTTCACTAAAAAAAAAAAAAAAAAACTCATTTAATGGTAATAATCATCTATCAATTTCTGCCTTTTCAGCTTCCGCCGTAATTCTCCTTCATCTGATGATTCTCCTTTGTCTGATGAGACCCAAACTGCACATCAGTATAAAGAACAGTAAATAATAATAAAAATCTGAATCCACCAAATGAATACAAAACTACAATAAAGAAAGCATTAGTAAAGTACAGCAACCATCGGGACAGCTTTCTTTGTCAAGCATAAACAAGCTGTATGTGAAGTCAGAAGCACATAAATCTATGAATGAACTTTTGACCCCAAGATCTCTCATCTATTGGCTCTTGAGATCATATGAATGCAATGACGTTAAATTTCTATCTGAATTAAACCAGAAAAATGGAAGCACTAAAACTTGAGAGTTCATGCTTTGTCCCAATAGGTTTCCAATATTTCCCTCAAATAAAGAAAAACTGTAAATTTTGCTCCATGACTCCTCTCTCTTCATCCATATATTAGTATCTCCAGGCTGTATAACATTGGGAGGATAATCTATAAGCGAGAGGCAACCATCGATCACAGTAATCTCCAAGTTCCTGGAGGACCTAGCCAAAACTTGTGGAAGCTCCGTCTTGTTGAACTTCTCCTCCACCACATTGAACATCACTATGTGGTAATTTTTTGGACTACTGAATATTGGTTGGCATACAAGCCAATGCACACTGTCGTGGAAAAATAATTGTTGCCCACGACGCTTATCCGCGAAACGAAATAAATCTTGGTCGAATGGAGTATTATTATTAATAAGAACCCTCCAAGCACCTTCGTTGAGGGAAAACAACTCCACCTTAGGAGGAACATTGAAGCCGCCAGTACTGCTGTAACCCATATGTACCACCTTGAAATCATTCTTCTTGGAATCAAACCCAAATCCATACCCCAAACCAAACCAGAGTTTTCTTCTGCATGATCCACGCAATGTTTTGGAGATTGGGAGTCGGAGGCTTCTCCGAGTCAGAGGGTTAAAGAGGATGAAGTTCAAGTGGGAATGAAATCTAGGGTCGTAGGAAGAGAGGCAAACGAGGCCCTTGACAGCGCCCACAAATTCGTAATCTTCATCTAAAGCAAAATCAGATAATGCAGGTAGATACGAGTATTCGATATTTTGCGGGGAGCATAGACGAAGCACACCATCTGAGGGCCGGACAAGGAAGAGG